TGTGTGTGTGTGTGTGTGTGTGTATATATGTGTGTATATGTATGTATATATATATCTCCGTAAGGACCTTGATGCATTGTCACATATTGTCAAATAACGAAAAATAAAGGCTACAAACTGGCAACTGCCACGACACCTCTCGCAAACAGTTGCCGCTGTTTGCGGCAGCAGGAAGTGCCTGCTAGCCAGCTGCGACAAACCTGTTCCTCTCAGAATGCTGTATAAACTGTAAAAATAAATGTAGATCTTACGAGACGCACTTAAACGCAGCATGGATCATAACATGTGTCATATGACAGACACATGCGATATGCGCATGCGCAGTCATCCGAGCAGGAGTCTGCAGCGCGCTTGGAATATGAGCAGCCCGCTCGTTGTGTTCACGGTGACAGTAGCCCTGCTCGGTGTGCACGTGCTGCACGGCCTCCCGTACTCTTACCTTCAGGTAACGTTTCACTTTCAGTGTTTGACTTCCCGAAACCTCACTTCCGCTTTGTTTGCACTGGATGTATTCGGAGCGGAAGCTGTTTGTACCAGTGAAGCGGAGCGCTGAGCTCCTCAGACAGCTGCTCTCAATGAGTCTGTGAGTGATTAGTGTGTTCATCATTCAGCCTCATATAGAGACTCATACATTCATGTTCACAGCCAAGGAGCCATCATGGAGTCAAGACAGAGACGTTCAGCGAGAAGTACTTCACTCAGACTGTGGACCACTTCAACTTCAACAGCATGGGGAACGGGACGTTCCTCCAGCGGTACCTGATCACAGGTGAGAGCTCCTCCATCTGACCGGAGGGGAGAGAACACACGAGCACCACTCACTGCCTGTGTCTGCTCTCCTTCAGAGGAGTACTGGACGCAAGGCTACGGTCCCGTCTTCTTCTACACCGGCAACGAGGGCGACATCTGGGAGTTTGCAGCCAACTCTGGCTTCATCACAGAGCTGGCTGCTCAGCTCAGAGCCGTGGTCATATTCGCTGAACATGTAAGACACGCGGACAGTATGTAGCTCAAACATGGCTGAGGAGAATTCCAGATCATGTGACAAATATAAATTGTGAAATGAGTGGTTAGCTGATTCTCACTTCCCACAAGCCGTCATCACACAATGAGACGCAGAGAATCAAGAGAGAGGGCTCCGAGTGTGACGATCAACAGTGAACACCTTCATCATCATCATCGTCACTTCCATCATAACTCATAGTGATGTAAGTGCTGTATTAGGGAAGCTCGGCACACTGATCTCAGACATGTCAGAAGGAAGAAGACGTATATCACACACACAATGCTGGACTCTGAACATGGGACATGCAGAACATCACACTTCAACAGGTTTCTTTGTGCGCCATGTTCTCTCCTAGATGAGTACAAACCAGGTTCAACCAGAAATACAATGCTGCTCTTTGCTCTTGGTCAGATTTTAAATCTATTTACTAAATATGCAGGAAGGTTGTAATACTTTGTATTGTGAATCTCTAACACTTCCTCCGTGATGTTGCATGCTGGGTTCTCTTTCTCACGTCTTCATCTGTTTGAATGTCTTCTCAAGCTGACCGTGTGCCCCCCTGTCCCTGTGCTTTAGAGGTACTACGGCACATCTCTGCCGTTTGGCAAAGACTCGTTCAGCGTCCCTCAGATCGGCCTGCTGACGGTGGAGCAGGCCCTCGCTGACTACGCCGTCATGATCCGGGACCTGAAGCAGCAGCTGGGGGCCGCAGACTGTCCCGTCATCGTGTTTGGTGGCAGGTATATCTATATATGTTCTATAAATGTGTTATATGTGACACGTGTATCAGATTAGCACTCCTAGTGTTCTGTGGTATCTGCTCCTCTTGCTTCCTGCTCCCCTGTCTCCTCTCTTCCTGCAGTTATGGTGGGATGCTGTCGGCCTACATGAGACTCAAGTATCCGAACATGGTGGCTGGAGCTCTGGCTGCCAGCGCCCCCGTGCTGTCCACTGCGGGGCTGGGACACTCCGGCCAGTTCTTCAGAGATGTAACAGCTGTGAGTGCAGAATGCTCCTCTTCTTGTTGAGGGAGCTTCATCTACCGTCACCTGAGCGGAGAAGCTTCCACAATATCTGAGGGCCGTTTGCTCCAGAACTGTTGGAGCGCTTTGGAAACACAATCGCAAATAATGTCTGAATATAGACGCACGTGTGCAGGTGGATGATGACCGTTGTGTCTCTGTCATACAGGATTTTGAGAGCGTTGCCTCTGAATGCAGAGATGCTGTGAGAGGAGCCTTCCATCAGCTGACAGGACTAGCACAGCACCAAGGTACACGTGTTATGTTGCTAAGACACCTGGATCTGTTTGAGATCAAACTAAAGACTATATATATATATATATATATATATATATATATATATATAT